CTCACGGGACCTGCCCTCAATTGCTACAAGAGCCCGACCTTTGACAAAGACCAATGATTTCAGCCGTAATTAACGACACTGTCAAATTAATTAACCCGTCTTCATCCACAGGGGAAAAAAACCCAACTCTCTCATGTCAATACTGCTGTTTACTAGTCCTTGACCAAGCTCTGTAGACCCGACACGGGGACACCACTGACTGATGCCCCTAATAAGGCCCCACCCACTAAGCCACCGCCATTAGCTACTAAGCCTTCTCCCAGTGACATATCCTCTGATAATACGGCTTTGGTGAATGAACAGCGCTCACAAATCGAACACTATTTTAAATAGAAGCCTGAGAATAGGGGGCGGCATTCCCACTTTTTCTCTCTTAGGTCCCCTCCTGAGTTACGGTGATGAAACACTAGACAAATGCTGCAGGGTTTCATTTAGCCATTTAATAAATGGCCCTCATTAAAACGCCAGTCCTCTTGCCCTTGTCTGTCAGGGCTCCGACTCAGACCAATGCCCATGTATACATTTCCATGTTATCTCTTCAGAGGGTTCGGAACTATTTTCTTACACCTACCACAGCTTTTATTCCATTTAGAAGAAGTACCCTCCATCCAGTTTCTGACTTTCAAGAAAAACAAGGCACTTAATTGACCACAGGAGGACTCTCTCAAGGGCATGGCGCTGCAAAAGCTCTCCTGTGAGCTCACAACGTAAGCTGATGTAATCGGCTACAAGAAGCCGGCTTCTATTTTTAAATGATACCCTTTCACTCTGCCTTCAAAGGGCGCATATATCACACGTTGTAACTGCCCATAAAATGCCTCCTGGTGTAGCCTCCTGTCCCATTTCCCTCCTGGGGTGAGTCACGCTGCCAGGAGGGGCTTCCCACCGCACACAGGCCCAGCCCCGCCCTCTCTGATCCATCTACCACTTCCTATTACTTGGTCTTTAGGAGAAGAGCTGCATATGGCCACTCTCCGGGTGTCTTGTTTATCACGGTACTTTTGAGAAGGAACAGATGACTGCCAGGGCCCTTCTTGAGGGTTGGGATCAAGCTTTCCCACCTCTTTGTATTTCCATCCCCAAATACAGGCCCTTAATAAATGCTTACTAATGCTGCTGCCCAGAGCTCTGTCATCTGGCCCATGAGCTTCACAGGGTGCCACGAGGGAAACAGATGATTTACTTCATTTGCTTTTAAGTTTTTCATTCATCATTCCGGCCACGCTTGCTGTGTGTTCTTGAAAACGTTTCTTAGCATTTGGTTGGAGGTGAAAGTACACTGGGTCTTGCTATTTGTTTATTTACACTTATGTTGCTCATATCTAAAAAGAATAAAGAGCTTTGTAATTAAAGTGATGCTGTGGCGGAGTCTGGGAAAGGTCAAAGCAGTGTATTCCTTGGGCGACTGCCCCCTTCACTCCACAGGCACCCCATAGTTCATACAAAAGCCTCCTAGCAGCACTCCCAGGCTCAACGCTTGGTCCTTCCAATCCTCCACATTAAACTCTGAGTGAGCTGGCGCTGGCCAGTGGGGCTCAGTAGGTTGAAGTGTTGTCCCCATACCCCAAAGGGTGGCGGGTTCCATTCCAAGTCAGGGCACATACCCAGGTTGTGGGTTTGATCCCTGGTCCAGGCCCATATGGAAGACAGCCAATTGATGTTTCTCTCTCACATCAAGCTTTCTCTTTCTCTCTCCCTCCCTCCCTCCCTTCCTCCCCCTTCCTCCCTCCTTTCCTCTTTCTAAGATCAATTTTTTAAAAAAATCTGAGCTATGGAGAATACTGATTTAATCATGCCCCTCCCTTTCTCAACCCTTCCACTCCCTCTGAGCCCTCTGGGAGATGTACCTCCTGGTTCAGCTCTGCTGACCTCAGTGGCCCCTGGTCTGGGCACCACCATTCCCACACCCACCTTCTGTGCTCTGATCTCTAGAAGTGCTTTCACCTAAAAGTATTTATCTAAGTTGCTTCCTCAGCCTGGAACTCTGCTCTGCTGTCCCTTCTCCCTCCACCTCGCTCCTTCGCACTCATCCTTCGCATCTTGGTCAGATGCTCCTTGCTGCAGGTACCCCTTGTGGGTGGAGAATGCGCTAGCTCTTGCTCTACCCCAAGTGACTACACTGACAGCAAGGCAGTGAGCATGTCTGTGCATTCACTACTAATATCCCACACATGGCCCAGCATGCAGCGGGGCTTCAGTATCATTGGTTGGACGAATGAATGAAATGAGTGAATGTATACTAAAGACTACAGTCGGGGGATCCCATTTGTGAGGTATGGATTAGAATTCTATCTCCTTGGAAAGTGTGAACTCAGAGAACAGAATTTATAGCAAAATACTACTTTGGTTGGAGAGTCCTCAGTTGAAACGTGATGGTGGCAGGAGGAGCCGCCAGGAGACTGACATTCCCCCTTGCCCCCCCACAGCGGACCTAAGGAGCCACCTGCAGCCTGGCCTCTCACCCTGAGGACTGAGAACTAACACTTTCCAAGAGATCAGTGGAGAGCTGTTTAGAATGAAATCCTAACTGGGACAGAACACAAAAGCTTGCTCAAAATGAAATTTCATGTTATGAACTCCAAGAGAAGAGCCAATTCCACAATTTAAATTCATTCCAAAGAGGGCAACAACCCACACATGAATAATGCCGCTTCTTACCTGCAAAACCACACACGTCCATTTCCAAAACATCTAAGGTCAGTTGCCTGTGTTGGGAATTCTGAGGAGGTTTGAGAAAACATGCTTCTGGCACTTCAAACGCAATGGCTGGAATCTGGCATCGCTACGGGTGCTAACTTAGGGACTGGTGCTGGACTGGCCCCGGGTGATGGTAGTAAAGAGAAGCAGTCCAGTCCCTGTCCCCATGGAAAGCCTCGCCTCGTCCAATATATATTCACATCTGTCTTCTTAAAATTCCCCCCCCCCTAAATTCTAAGTACATCATGTTCTGTTATTAAATTAAATCCAGGACACATGGGACTGGGGTAAGGCATCACTTCAGCTCCTTCTTTATGGCAAAGAGTTTTTTTCAACCATATTTTCCAAAATCAACAGACTGATCACACTAAACAGTGGGTAATATTTCAACATTCAAACCAAATGACGAAGGGCTTGGTTTTTATTTCATCCCTACACAGCTAGTAACCACCCTCCAAAACAAAACCAAATAAACACAATTCCACATGAACTTCTCCGGCCTTCCAGAATAATCATACGTTTACTTTTATTATCTGGCACATAGAAGGTGCTCAATAAATGTTCGTTGAGTGAATAAATCACAGGAGCGGAATAACTAGGAAAACGCCCTTTTGAATCTTATGTATGTTCTTCAACTTCCCTTTTTTTTTCTCTTAGGGAAAAAATTATGCATGATTTTCTAGGATTCTGACTTTCATTTCCCTGTCTGACCCTGGGCTAGTCACTTAAAATAGGTACTATTTTCTTCACCCATAAAATGAAATCTGTGTTTTGATTATTATGAGATTTAAAGGATAGTAGATAAAAAGCGACTGGCACCACACCATGTAGATAATGTTGACGTCCCCCCCCCCCATTTTTCTTTTTTTAACCTCTCTGTTCCATCTCCCATCCTCCTTCAACCCCAAAATAAAGTGTCAAAGACAAACCAAATTACGTGCCCGATAAGAAAGCCAGGAAATCTCAAAGGTGGTCTGGGCTTGCCAACATCGAGTAGCTATCAACTCTTGACCAGTTTTATTTACTATTTTGGGGCCTTGGGTATTCTCCGTTATAGAATGAGTGAGTTTCACTAACTCATTTTTAAAGGACTTTTCAGTTCTGATTGTCCATGAGCTCAGAGTCTGCCTTACCAAGAACTTAGATGCTGCTAACACATTAAGGTCATCTGTGATCAGACATAAAATGAACTCTGATTTCCTTCACAGAGAGGGATTCTACAGTACAAACCAGAACTAGATTTAACTTTTAAAAGAATCTAACACCTAGGTCAAGAATTGGTGACCTTATTCTTAAGCCACAGAAGGTCCCTCCTCCCCTGCACCCCCACACGCATCCCCGCATCCCCCATCCAACACAACCCACATCTAACCTCCTTCCTACCAGTGGGGCTCCCCATTCACAGCTCTGCAATGATGTGCTTAAAGAGAAACCTAGGGATTGTTAAGCAATATTACTGACTCATTTGAAATGCGTAATAGGACAGTCAATACAATATTATGTCAAACCTAACATTTGCTTTATTTTTTTCTTTCACACCCAGAAATATATCTAAATCCACCAAACAAAGAACCCAAGACTATGTACACAACAAAAAACCCCCAAGGCTGCGTTTTCATAAATACTCAGTGCATGACTGCCACCTGGTGGTGGATGTATCCTTGTTTGAACGAATCTCCAAAGCAGCTATACTGACAAGATCATTTAAAAAAACACAAGGGAACACTGTTCTCTGCTGCTCATGGTTATTTCAGGGAAATTTAGGAGCAAACCCATCTCCTCTGCTATATATTTCCCTCAGACAAATTTCTGAAGAGATCACAGATGTAGTCAATGCCATATTTTTTAATCCTACAACTAAACCCTACTGCTCTGAACCAATTCACAAAACAAAGGAGCATTATCATTCTATTAATTTTAATATGCATTATTAATTAAAAAGGGTTTCCACAATAGTCTGTTCTCACCTTCCAGTTTCATTTGATCTAGTCATGATTTTTTTAGTTATGCATGAAAAGGCATTTAGAAATGACAGCCTTACCAAAAGTGCACATTATATGAAAATCTGACTTCAATTAGAACCAGTAACTAAGTCCCCGCAGTTTCCAGCTGTCTCTTCACTTGTATCCTTAGAGAATTACATATCACATTAATTGGTATTCTGTCACATAAAAAGACACCAGCGATGATTAATTGCATCCTTGGTGCTTTTGAGTTCTGTCTTCTTCACTAGAGGGATCCAAATCACACCTCATTACCTTCCAGCAGGTACCCCTTTTGGTAACCCTCATAAAATCTCCTACCTTCCTGAACTTCTCCATTTGCTTGTAGAGGTCTGGATCAAGCTCCTGTGACACGTCCTTCATCCATAATAATGCCCCCCTGTATTCAGTCCGGCACTGCTCCATGCGGTTCACCGTCAGCCACGTGTCCGAGATGGCCCGATGCCGAAAAGTCTCCACTTCTTGGTGAAATCGACACAAAGGATTTCGCAAGGCCAACCTAGACCGAGGATAAAGCCACAATCTTGAAACTAAGCAAGCTAGAGATCTGAATCCTTGGCAACTTACCAATCTTAAACACATGAGCCTAGCACAGTGCCTGGAACATAGACGATGCTGTAGAAATGGTTGAATTATAACAAATGTAGGTGAACTGTTGAGTCCACCAGAGATGATTAGCCATGTACTGACCTCTTAGATGACTGTTACTTAACTGTTCTATTTAAAAAACTAAGTATTTCCATCCGTATTGTTGGGGGTGGCCTAGTGCCTGGGCAAAGAACACTTGGAAGCTGGAACCAATTCTGTGTTAATGGAGAAAGGTCAAGGAATAACCATTTCCCATGTCTACTCTTGGTCCCTCCCTGCCTGCTGCTCCTCTGAAGCTTGTCCCTTTGAGGAGGAATGGACCTGTGTGTGATTAGGGTCTCCACGGCCAGACCATTCTGGGTTACTCTCCAAAGGCCTGGCATCTGCTGCTTGTTCCAATAGCCAAGAAGGAAGCACAGACAAGCATTTTCAATTGGTCTAGGAAGGGGAAGAAGTGCATGTACTGAGGGTTTACTGTGTCAGGCCCTTTTGGTAGGTTCTGTGATTTGATTCTTATGAAAAAAACAAAACTTGAGGATACTACACTAGAAATGAATGTATACATCACTTATTTAGCAAAAAAAAAAAAAATGCTTGATGCATATTAAACTTTGGATAAATTATTTATTTGCAGGGGAAAAATACTGCCCCAATCAGTAATGTCAGATGAACCACACTCTTTACAAAAGTCATCTGCATGAAGTTGCAGGGTGAAGGTTCAAAAAATAAAAACAAGATAATATTTAAATTTAAATGCAAACTTGTCTAGGTGGAGAGAACAATGGTGTCAGTGAGCTGAAGTCAGCGTTTGGCTGTTCCATCAATGTCTACAGTGCCCTACCTGTGTATAGCACTATATAATTATGGATATAGCAATAAACTGTTTAAGAAAAAAATCCCTTTCACTATTTCCTTTAGTTCTCCTTTTGCCTATGAAGCACTGCTTTTAAATATTCAGCACTTTTTAAAAAACAGCTTGCTCACATCATCCTACCTAGGTGTTGCGAGTTGTTTTCAAAGACATATTGTTGTGCCATGAAGTAAGCCTGTGCTTTATCAGCACTGGGTTAAATTTAATACTCACCATTCATCAAATTGAATGAGCAGTTGTAGCAATGACTACCAAGTAAGTCAGTAAAACAAATGCTGATGTGAACGTTTATAAAATGGAAGCCCTCTACTGAAAGCGGGAAAGAGTTGCCCTAGCTGGTTTGGCTCAGTGGACATAGCATCAGCCTGTGGACTGAAGGGTCCTGGGTTCAATTCCAGTCAAGAGCACATGCCCGGGTTGTGGGCTCCATCCCCAGTTGGAGGTGTCAGGAGGCAGCCGATCAATGATTCTCTTTCATCATTGATGTTTCTCTCTCTCTCTCTTTCTCTCTCTCCCTCTCCCTTCCTCTCTGAAATCAATAAAAATACATAGAAAGAGTCCTCAGCTGCCCCCTTAAGGATCCCATTTATTCCTGGGCTCTTTTTTATCTCTTTCCTTGGATTTTGCCACTTTTCCTAAACTGGCTGAAAAAGAGTCTTGTGAATAAAATATTCTCGATTTCTTGGGCTGTTGGCAAGTTGGACCCAAACTTTTGAAGATGTAATGACATGATGATAGAGATTAAGATCTTGAAGAAGAGGAAAAGGCATATAAAAACATCTCATTTCCCCCTGTAGCTTACTTCCTATAGAATCAGAAAGGTGAAAAACCTCACTTGTGGTACCAGGGACTGCGTCCAGACCCAGGGAAAACTCAATAACTGGGACCATCAAGCTTCAGTGAAAGGCTGGCCCACGTTTTCATTCATAGCGGGAACAATTAACAAAGTGCCCAAAGATCAACTCCAAACGCATTTATCCTTGAGTAGGTAAAGGTGGAAATGACCCTGCCCAAATACTGCACAGAAGGGCTCAGGTGAAATGGATATGGCACACCTAGACCTCGGAAAACTATGCTATGGATGTTTTTTTAAATGTATATATGGACATAAAAAAGGTGGTTAGTGTTATTTGATCAGAAAAATCAATTTGCTACACAATCAGTATGCAATACTATACAGAAATTGTATGGTATGATGCTGTTCATATTGAAAACAAATCCAGGCACATCCCAAATTATGCCCATTCAAGGCCTGAGACTTCAACTTCATGAGAGTCTTGTGTAATCCTCCGACTTCTCCATGTTCAGGAGCACTGGTTTGGATGCCCTGTGCCTGGTGAGCAGCTGAGTGCCATGAAGCCAGACCACCCCCCCCGCCCCCCCCCCTCCCGTAAACCGCCTTCCAAAATGCAAAGTTGTCAAACTGCATTCAATTATGGATACAGGCAGATTGCTAGTTTATAGCAGTGATGCTTTCGTGTGTCATTTGTATTGTTTTTGTTGATTTCTTTTACTGTTTTTATCTGTATCCAAAGGTTTGATTACATAAACTTAAGGTACAAAATGTGTGCTGTGTGAGATAATGCGGTATACATGTATGAAAGGGTATCACTGGATAGCCATATAAAATAACTATGTAGCTATGGTAGCTTTTGTAGTAATACGTCCAGGGATTGTTTTGTTTCTCATCATTGGATATTCACTTTGGTATGCAGGTCTATATAAGAATCTTCCCACTGGAATTAGTAATAATTATATGATTAACATATAAGAATTTATGAAAGATTTTTCAAGAATCAAGCATCCTTGTCATGCTGGGGTAAGTATATGATAGAAAGTATCATGAGGTTCAAAGTGGGTTGTCTCTTTTAAAATTTGACTTGTTTTTTAATTCTGTCCTTTTGGTTTTTCTCTGTTTTAAAATTTTCCTATAATGAATAAGTATTATTTTTATAAGGAAAAACAGTTATAATTAGATTAAAAGGTGCAATTTAAGATGATAAGGAAACACTTTTCTTGGAAAACCGGGGTAGAGGATTATAAGAAATGGTTATCATTAGGAAAATTGGCACTGCCCACAAGGTCGGGGTCCAAATGTCATTAGGAAGAACCAAAATGCCCAGGAGTGGGGCCACTGAAAAACTGGCCTGGTTGTCTCTTTCCTACCCCACCTTCCTTGGTTTCCATAGGAACACTTGTGTTAACAGGCCTGCTCCTGACCCACAGGGAGAGAAAGCAGTAAGAAGAAATTAACAGGAGAAGAAAATGTTGGACAGTCTGAGTAAGTGACATTTTTGTAGCCTGAATATTTTTGGAAACTACCTCTAAGCCTTACTGAGGCATAATCATGCCTAATAGGAGTGAGTGACATTTTGGGAGGCTTGTCAGTTACTAGGGAAGGAGGAGGAGAGGAATGTCAATTTCTCAGACACACCGTGCAACTGTATGCAGGGGTTCCTGCTTGTTCCACAAGGACCCTAAAAAGGAGTCGGGGATGTGCTAAAAAAAGAAGTCACTGACCTAGCACCATTTCCTCTGCACCAGAGCTTCTCAAACCTGAAGGTGCCTGGAAGTCAACCGGGGATCTCATTGAAATGCAGATCTGGACTCAGCAGTTCTGCGATGGGGCCTAGATTCTGCATTTCCAACACCCGCCTAGGTGGAACTGCTGATAGTGCTGGCCAGGGTCTGAGCAGAATGGTTCAGGGCGCCTTGAACAATACTGATCTGAGTTAATTGGTCCAGGGAGAGCAGAGAAGGAACCCTTCCACCTGGTCTCATTAGGCTCCTGCTTTGATCAGCTGCTGGAAGGGGACCAGACTGAGTGCTAGCTAGGAGCAATGCTCAAGGTCAAATACGAGCCTAGGACAGCACTCAGTGATTGACGTATAAAATGCCCCTAAAGACCAGAAGAGATATGAAAAAGAATTTTAAAAAATGATTAATAGGGAGTAGAAAAATCATATCTGTTATCTTCATCAGAGAATAAATACAGACTAACCACTGAGAACAGAATAGCCTGTCAGCCTCAGGCAGGAGCCTTCTAAAGAACATTGGGAGATTCCCCTTTGTAAGTGGGTCCCACATTCTCAGCAGATCCCCCAATAGAGCCCCAAGGAAGGCCACACACCTTTGCTGGGAAGAAAAGCAGAGGGCCTTTCCTGTCGCTTGCATCATTTTTCCTGCTCTGGTTTTATCTTGGAAGCCCTGGGATCGGAGAAATTTTCCCAGTTCGTTTTCTTCTTGAGACAAGACTGGTGAAGAAAAGACCAAAAGGCGCCATGAACAATGAGCATTTTTATTACAGAGCGAAGGACAGAGACAAACCCCAAGGTCCTCTCTCCGCTAGCGTCCAAGATGAGATGAAATGAAATCCAAGTGACAGGTTACAAGGTAAGCTCCCCACCCTCTCCATTTAACTTTTGTGCTGTTCTTCCATTTACAAAAAACGAGGGATCAAATTCACTTGAGTACATCTGTCAGTGCATTTGGTGCCCTGTAATCGGAACCAGAAAATGACCTCTGTACTGAAAAGCGAGCCGATAATGTGCTGTTTGGAGCTGAAATGAAAAAGTTAAGTTTGTGGGGTATGACTGTGGGAATCTTCGGTGGCTGCCTACAATGGAGGGTCAGTTTCCTTCTGCTTTTCTCTCCTGCTGACTCTTTGATCTCTGCTTTCTGAGTTAGCAATTCAAATACTTTATCTGTAACCCAGGTTTTTGGTTGGTGGTGGGGATGAGGAGCGAGGGTGGGTAGGTTGATGACTTGGTGAATTTTTAAATGCAGAGCTAGAATCAAAATCTGACCCAGTTATGCCTAATCTTGGTCTTATTTTTTTTCAGTTGATGTATAATTGACATACATTAGATTCGTTTCAGATATACAACATAATGATTCAATATTTATATTGGTCCTTGTATTTAAAGGTAACCTCAGATGACACTATTGGGTGAGCTAGTGACTGGCACAAGCTTTTCTATAGATTTGGCAGTAAATATAAATGTCTCTTTTGACATTGCACTTCTGTTAGGAGCACATCCTAAGGAAGTGGTAAAATGAGCACAAAGATGTATATACAAAGATAATCACAGCATCGTGATTTATAATAGCAGAACACTCTTTTTCCCTATCGTGGGGATGGTTGAATCCAACACAGTGCACCCAACCAGTGACCAGGGAGCCCTTATGCAGCCACTGGTCCCGAATACACACTCACCACCAGCTGAGCAAGGAGTGACACTGAGCTCCCTGGAGAGAACTGTGCCCAAACACAGCATTTGCTATGGACATCCTCTGAACACGACCACTCTTATTTCGCATTTCTGGATTGATGCTTTTACACATCATGTGCCTCTAAAACTACTTTTTAAATACTGCCTGAATTCCGGTCCGTTTTCATGAACCATCCCGATTTCTTTGAGAATGCCCCGTGTCTGACACAACCTCTCCAAGAATGGCTACAGAATGTTAGCCCAGAACCACAAATCCAAAGGTGAAGGTCAAATGCTCTATTCTCCCTTATTAATTTGTGACTGTGGTTTGCTGGAGACATTCCAGAGGAGGAAGAGGCTTTTAGAATCCATTCTTCCTGAGGGATGAATGACTACCTCCTTCCTCTTCTGCCTCTCAAAATCAAGTTCATGGTCAAAGTCCAGCTCAAGGGCTACATCCTCCGTGAAGTGGTTGATCCCCATTTCTCTATGTCAGCAATGTCCCCTCAGCATCTGGTATCAGAGTGTTTGTAGGTGTCTATTTCCCATGAGAATCTAAGATTTCTCAGGACAGGACCTCATCAAAACTATGGCTTTCCCAGGAAAATGCTTTAAGTGGGGAAACTGGATTAACTATACTTTCCCCCTTGTTATCCCTGTACTTTGTTTCACTTTAAATGCTTATCTGATATTTATGCCATGGTTCTATGTAGCTTTAAAAAATTCCTATAATTATAAGAAGGGCTGTTTTTTTAAAATGTGTTTTCCTTTATTGATTTTTAGAGAAAGAGGAAGGGAGAGGGATAGAGAGATAGAAACATCGATGAGAGAGAAACATCATCAACAGGCTGCCTCCTCTATGCCTTCCACTGGGGATCAAGCCCACAACCCTGGCATGTGCCCTAACCAGGACTTGCACCTCGACCTCTTGGTTCCTGGATCAATGCTCAACTACTGAGCCACACTGGCTGGGTGAAGTTTTGTTATTTTTTTTTTTAATGCCTTTTATTCCTTCTTCTCTTCACTTACTAATGTAAGACTCACTCAGTTCCACAATGAAACTTTCCCTGTGGGGAGGAATTTCACATTCGTGTTCATAATTGCATGAGGCTACTGTCACCTTTACCTTGAAGCCTCAAGTCACATACAAATGAACACACTTAGCTTAAGGCTAGGAAGAAACCAATTCACGGAACCTGGATGATTACATGGTTGGTGAAATGTACTCTTTCCTAAATAAGCCTAAGTAGGTAAAAGCATTTGAAAAATCACTTTTTGTTACTTGGTGCACTTGAGGCTTGACCTTGGGGCGGCAGACAGTTTTCAATTTGAGAGCTAGACTCTAATTGGCAGAGGGCGGTGGAAAGAGTTTGAGCTGCATCAGGCTCCAGGTTGATTACTTAGTGATGGCCATCATTTTCTGAGAAGAGATATTCATTCCTTAACGCTAATTTAAAAAATACTGCAGTTAACTTATAGACATTTACACTTCTTCTAAGGTAAGACATAACTCAAAAGTTTATAAGTTCTCATTTTCCTAGGGTTTAAAAATTCAGAGACAAATAAAAACCTATTTATATTTAATTGCTAATTAGATTTTCAGACGTGCCCTAAAAAGGCAACTAAAGAACTATAAAAGCAATTAGCTTGGCAGCATGAATTCACGCAGCACAGAGTGAATTAATTTATGGATGGTCTTAGAGAAATGAACAAGGCACACAAGGTACCTGCTCAGAGGAAGCTTACGTTCAAGCAGCAGGAGATAGAAAACAAAAAAATACGGAATCGCAAACTCAGTGCCAGAGAGAGTGAGAGAGATTTGTGGCTGCTTTGTGGTGGTAAGAAGGTATCTCTGGGCAGGTGACCATGAAGTTGTCCTCTGAATGACCAGAAAGGGCCACTCTCGAGAGAATTAGGGCAGGAAACAGAGGAACCCATAGAGGAAACAGTAACTGCAAAAGGCCTCAGGTCACCTGGTGGGTAAGGACAAAGGTGGCTGGAGGGACGAGTGGGGCCGATCACGAAGGAATTTATAAGCCAGGGTATGGCAGTTTGGATCTTATTGTAAGCACTACTGGAGGCTTTTCTGCAGAGAAGCAATGTGTTCCCGTGTACATTTTTGTAAAAGTTTTAATTATAATTTTAGGCTCATAGCAACACTGTCAGTGGAATACAGAGTTCTTCTATACCCTTCGTCAGCATCCCCTAATGTTAGCATCTTACATGACACCATGGCTCAATGATCACAAGTAGAAAATGGACACTGGTGCAATACCAGTGACCAAACCACAACCTTATTGGAATTTTACTAGTTTTCCCATTAATGTCACGTTTCTGTTCCGGGACCTGATCCAGGATCCCACACAACATTGAGCTGTCGTCTCCCCAGCCTCCTTCCATCTGGGATAGTTCTCAGTCTTTCTCTTCTTTCACGACCTTGACGCCCTTTAAGAGACCTTGTCAGGTATTCTATAGGATTTACCTCAGTGTGGGTTTGCCTGATTTCTCAGGATGAGAATGGGGTTATGGATTTGGGGGAAAGAAGCCACACAGGTGGAGTGCATGGTATGATATCACCACACATCTCACTGGTTATGTTCACCTGGATCCCTTTTGTGGATGCTGTTGACTGGGTTTCTTTACTGTAAAATTATTTTTTCCCTTTTGTAATTACTAAAAATCTTGGGGGGTAGGGGGAAGGGAAATACACGAAACTATGCGAATCTCCAGTTTCTCCTCAAACTTCCATTCATGAATTATAGCATCTTTCAGTGCAGCCTAACCGCCCCGATTCTTACTGTGGTGTTTGCCTACTGAGGATTTTGTGGCTCCCTCGTTCTTTCCATATTTATTAATTGGAGTTATTTCATATGGAGGAGCTGTCACTCCTCCTTGTTTGTTTATTTCCATATAGATTTTATGGGTCTTTATTTCACTTTACAGGTTATAATCCAACACAGTCCATTTATTTTGTTGCTCAGATTGTCCCAGCTTTGACCACTGAGGGCTCCGGGAGCCGACCTATTGCTCTGTGATTGCAGTGGAGACAGTGGGCTGGAGGAGGCACGAATGGAGGCAGGGAAACCAGGTAGGAAGCTGATGCAGCAAATCGAGAGAGTGATGGTGTGGGCTGACCTGAGACAGAGGCAATGAAGATGGCGAGAAGGAGAACCCGAAGCAGCGGTTCTCAACCGGTGGGTCGCAGCCCCTTTGGGGGTCGAACGACCCTTTCACAGGGGTCGCCTAAGACCATTGGAAAACACATATATAATTACATATTGTTTTGTGATTAATCACTATGCTTTAATTAGGTTCAATTTGTAACAATGAAATTGGGGGTCACCACAACACGAGGAACTGTATTAAAGGGTTGTGGCATTAGGAAGGTTGAGAACCACTGAGTCCTGAAGGGTGTTCAGGTGGCCAATGGACCTGTCACTGAGACGGACGGAATGTGGACGTAGTGGAGGTGTGTGTCCTGTGCCTTGTTTTCCTGCTCAAGACGACGGCGTCACAGCCCCGGAGAAACCTTCGCTCCAACTCAGTAAGCAGTAGCATAGACAATTTACAGAATTCTCCTGAGTCCTAGGACTTTGTACTTATCCCCAAACTGTCTTAATAGAAGGTTACTAATAAAGGAAAACGACCAATTGTTAATTAGTGACTACTGGAAAGGTGTTTGACAGCAGTTAAAAACAGGAAAACTTCCCAGTTAGTCTCGCATAGAAATTGTACGATTAAATCACCCACAAATAGAAATATAAAAACATACTAATCTACAACTTGATATTCAGCATTTCAGAGATAACATTGTTGGTAATGATTTTAGGACAGGATGGCCATAGGAAAGTCTTGTTCCCTAGTAACCCAACAACCAATAAAACAATGTTGACCAGGAAGCACTGTCAATAAAACACTGTCAATGCATTTCCTGTATGTGCCTTCTCCCTCCATTTGGTCATTTCAAAACCAACAAGATTAGAAATAAGAGAGCCAAGGCAATTTTAAAAATGGCAAGATATAAGCACTGACAAAACTTGTTTATAATTAGAAAAAGAAATGGCATGTATTTAATTATGGGAGACCCCATATAAAATTCTCCTATTACGGTACTTGCATTGAAAGGTAAACAGCTTATGTAAAGGATTTCTGATAAAATTATTAAAGGCCTCCTCCCACCACTTAGAGAGCAAAGACAAACACTCCTAACCAGCAGTTTCTTTGTCTTACTTCCTAAGCACATGCAGTGATACAGTAAGGAAAAATATCCTATTTTTTATTAATAGATGAATATTCGTACTTATGGTATACTTACAACATATCCTCTTTTGATAGAGTACAATTGCTTTAGACAAGTCCAAACAGGTTCTCTGAATTGAGTGAAACAGCTGTAATAAAAATACAAACAAAATGCGAAATAAAACAGAGAGCAGTGAAATAAAAAATAATCACACTCAAGACAACCTAGTGTTTGATTTGCCCACTAAAAACAAGATCATGTGGCCAAGTGTGCTTGGTGGCATGTGGCGGACTGTATAGAAACTGTGATCAAAGCCTTCCAGTATGCTTGTATTGTCTGTATGTATTTATTCATCATCTTCGCAATCTAAATTAAGATCTGCAGAACGATTTCCTCTAGACAATTGAAATAATAGCTGAAAAACAGAAATCCTAAGTGAAGGGCCCAATTAGATGGCTTGGTAAACCAGAGACCCAATTTTCATTCATAATCCAATTTATTTCTTTTACCACTTGCGGTCTTTTTTAAAAATGGAGAATCTGTCAAATAAACATTGTATTTAAAACATGAGAGTAACTTAGTCGGTGATCCTAATGTCCTCTGTGGCATGCTCAGACAACTCCATAAAAAGCCAAGAGAAATCAATCAGCTGCGTGTTGTGTCTGTTGGGAAGACCTCTGGTGACATGGAGTTTACCTAGCAGCCCCATCACTCCTGATTGTCCCAATGATTTCATAAAACACACGGAGAAGAGACGGAATGCTATGCTATAGCCATCCCAGAGGAAGTGAAGGGAAAAGCAGGTGGGCTGTGCTTTTAACTCATGGTGGACCTGGTCTTTGCTTCAGAAACAGAGACAACTCAGGAGAAGATAGAAGAGATACTTCCCACTTTCTCCACCAACCCAGAGGCCAGGGCTGGTCTCAGTGAGAACACCTGGCAGACAACAGGCAGGCTTTCCCGCTCTCCCTCTGAGCTTACTGCCCTGGTGATGCAGCAATTATGTCCTGGTATTAGAAAAGCCCTTCCCTGTTTTAGTCAAAACTGATGATCTGCTTCATAATATATACAACCACATTAATAAAAATGAAGGCATACTATGAGCTTATGCCTTACTATGATAAAACTTGGACACAGTATAAATTTTACTAAATCTCATTTCATTATAAGGCATCCGCTACCTGTGTAGAAAAGAAAAACAACAACCCTTTACGCTCAAACAAAATAGAAAATCAGCTGTCTGAATTCTGTGCCTTAACAAATGCTTGATATCAGTATTCTGGGTCACCAACCAGCAACACAAACCAACTCTCAAATACGGGAGCGAGGAAATCGCAAAAGTACATTCAGGATCTGATGTGTTGTCACTGTTCACGTTTTAAAAAATGCATATAAAGTAAATGCGGTAAAATGCACGCCTCTGCAGTGTTAGTTCTGTGCGCCTGACAGCTGCACGCACTCTAGTAACCACGCCCAGCGAAAGAGGAGAAACATTTCCGCCGTCTGGTCGGTCTCCTCTGCAGTGTCCCCCCTGAAAGACTTCCGGCAGGTTAGTGTTGCTTGTTCTTGTACTTAGAGCTATTTTTGAGAAGATGGTTTTATTAACAAGCAATTTTGACAAATATTGGAACTTAGTGCAACACTTCTACATTAACTTCCCGACAGACTGGAATGCAATCTGACCATGATTTTGGCTTGGCACACAGCTTTCTTGTTTTTAGGCTTGCCCTATATGGGTAACAGTGTAGGAACACATCAACATGGTTTGCACAGTTTTCATATAGTTTATTGGTGGTTGATGGAATCCAGTCTCTTTATAAACATCAACGCCAGTGTTAACATTTCTGCAACAGAAACCTCTATCATGTGTCAAATTATTAGTCACAGCTAAGTGCTTTGGACACTCTAACCATCGGACAGCAGCTATTTTTATAAGTATAGTTGGTTGTGTAAAAATGCCCCTGCAAGAGTCTAAATATAAAATTGTTGTGCTGTGTTTAATGTACGAAGGATTAACACAGTAAAATCCTTTCTGAATGAGGCTTGTATTTACTAGGGTGTTAAGTAGAGAAACATAAAGCTATACAATCTGAAAAGCATTAGCAACTTATAATCATTTCAACTGTATTCAAAATACTAAAATCAGAACAGTACCTGGTGGTACTTTTCTCCATTGGCGCAATCTCCATTAGAACATCCCTGTCAAACCCAGCTTCTATTTTGAACAATTCCAATGACAGAGGGAGGGTCAGGAACTAATATTAATTGCATTAATATGTACACTTATTCCGCCAATGGTTCCTGAATGTGTACTGTGTGACTGGGTGAGGGTGCAGTGGTGACTAAGGCAGACATGGAATTTGACCTCCTACTGGAGGAAGAATGGGCAAACCAACCAACATTTGAGATAATTTCATGAGAGATGAGTACTACGTATACTGACCTGGGTCTGGTTCTACCCTCAGATGCATAGAATGAATTATCCCTCTTCCACATGACAGACCTTCCTATATAGTTGACAACTAACCTATCTCCCCTTAAAACCTCTCTCTGTTCTAATACAACCATGACTTCCACCATCTTGGCCACCCTTCTCACAAAGCTTTCTGAAATCTTGAGCTGTCTGTGTTAGTCCCATTAAATGTTGAGCTCATTAACTTAGTTTACATATTAAATGTGGAGATCACTTTGAAGTCTTTCAGGTCACACAACATATTTTTCCTCTCAGTGGCCTATCATTCACGGAAGTAAACTTTTTAAATTTTAATCTAAACTACTGGCAGAATGTCTAAGAAGACAGGGAGTTAGTGGGTCTTCTACCAGTTATATTGGTATTCCAGGATCAACCAGATATGAAGTCAGTGTACTGTATTATTAACTAGTCTAACTAAATATCTGCTTTGTGAATTCACTCTAGAATTTTCCAGGGTAGGACACCAAGCCTACTAGACTCTACTTTACAGAACCAGTTATTCATCCTTTTTTTTAAAAAAAAATTATTTTAGAGAAAGAGGAAGGGAGAGAGGGAGGGAGGGAGGGAGGGAGAGAGGGAGAGAGAGAGAGAGAGAGAGAGAGAGAGAGAGAGAGAGAGAGAGAGAGAGAAAGGAGGTGGAGCGGGAGAACATTGATTGGTTGCCTCCCATATGCACCGACCAGGGATCAAACCCTCAACATTTCAGTGCACAGGACGATGCTCCAACCAACTAAGCCACACTGGCCAGGACCCTTTTTTCTTTTTCAAAATGTAAATATTGGCCCTAACCGGTTTGGCTCAGTGGAGAGAGCATCGGCCTGCAGACTGAAGGGTCCCAGGTTTGACTATGGATGTTTCTAACGCTCTATCCCTCTCCCTTCCTCTCTATAAAAAAATCAATAAAATACATTTTAAAATGTAAATATTTGCCAGACCCCTGGGGTTGATATCACTGGCAGTGGTTCTGTAATTGCATTAATGTTTTTCAACAAACATTTACTGAGAATTTACCACATTCCATGCATTCCAACGAAGTGTAAAAAAACCCTATAAATCAACAGAGGCATATGGATAGTTACACGAGAATCTGTAGGTGTTTGTTTGTTTAAATAGGCAGGGGTTGGATTGATCCCAGATTTTCCTCATGAACTGGTTGTTTGCAATAGATTTTCAAATATAAGCACACCTATGTTTGCCCAGGTGAATCACTCTAGGACCCTGACGGAAGCAGGGAGGCTGTGCTGGGGCAGAGAGAAACAGTGCTCACCTCCAGCTTGGCATCCAGGTCTGCGTCAGAGGCCACAACATGTTCATCCTCCTTCTTCCCCGTGGCTTTAATAAAGGCCTGTTTCGTCTCCCAGTACTTCTGCTGCATCTTATTTACCACGGACTTGTCCTGAGCATACCGATCCTGCAAGTCCCAGGGGTAACTGCTAAAAACATTCAAAGAGCTCTTTTACTCATGACGTTCATAACGACTGAGATAGTTTAGTGTGAATGAACTCACCTAAACATTAAACTGTACACTTACAACATTCATAAACATATAAATACTTTCCTTTATGATTATTACACCAAAAATGTCAATCAACTCTGACTCCCAAAGCTTAAAAGTTAGTGAAGAAATGAAGTAACTTTTGCAGGAAATTTTAGAAACTGAACCTCCACTACTGAGTGTAGATATCCGCAGGCAGGACACACCCCTGGTAGAAAGTGAGGCCAAGCCAGGCAGGGTGACTGGCTCAAGTCGATCCTGAGTCAGAGATAAATCCGGACACCAATGTTCTCTCCACTCCAGCAGAACGGCCAATACTGAAGTGATGGCAGGAAAGCAGAGATAAGGCGCTGAGAAATAGTGTGCTTAGCATCTGTCACAGAGGTGCCTAAAATAGTCAAACTCAACTCAGAGAGTAGAATGGTGGCTACCAGGGGCTGGATGGGGCGAGGGGGGAATGGGAAATTGCTAGTCAATGGTCATAAAGTTTCAATTATGTCAGATGAATAAATTCTAGAGATGCAACTTTGCATCCAGAGTTAACAACACTGCATTGTACACTTAAAATATTATTAAGAGGGTATATCTCTTACCAAAGTCAAATAAAATTTAAGAATATTAAAAAAAATTACAGATTTCTGATATTAAAACTGTAGTTTATTAAATATAAATGCTTAAAATACATTACATTCTTCTGGGAAAATATAGTGAAGATCAAATAAAAAAGAAATTAGAAAAAAAATTAAGAAAAAAATGGAATTCTGTAGAAGTGACCAGAGTACCTCAAATATTAACAAGAAGTTTGCCATTGGTGCTGCATCCCTCCCCATGTTGTCTACACCCGCCCCCTGTCTAGAGTTCCTGCTCCAGAGGCTCACATAGGACCTCGATGTCGCTCCTATCCAGACATGCATCATATTCTAATCCATGCTATTGCCACTCAAAATATGCCAGGCCTGTGTCCTAAAACATGAGCTGCAATATCAAAATACCTGTATCTCAAAACCTGATGACTTATAGTCTCCTTCCAGATAACATTTACAATTTTCAATTCACAGGTTTATTCTTAAAACATCATAAGGGATTTCAGATGACGTTCTCAGCAAAGGTTATCTTTAGAGAGAGAAGTAGGATTGGAGGGACTTTCATGGTTTCTGCACTATTTAGAAGTTTTCTTATGAGCTTACATAATAGGAAATAGGATGAAAATATCTATAACATTTATGTAAAAGATAATCTCTCTATAGAGTGTGTATGTTAATAGATTGGAAGAATATAGCCCCACCCCCCAAACTATGGTTATTTCAGGGGAATGGAATTTTCAAGAATGGGGAATTGGGTAGACTTCTTTGTATTGTGTCCCCCCCACCCCACCCCAAAAGGTCATGGATTGATAGTAAAAAGAATTCCATTTTGAAAAAAACCAAAGGGACTTTAGAGATCTAGTGAAAATGCCTCACTCCACCCTCAGTCATTTAACAAATGAGAAAACTTCAGTTTTCAAAGGTTAAGAATCTTGTCTGTAGTCTCACAGGATTAAAATCCAGGCCCCTGAATCCCAGTCCAGTGATCATTCCAATAGTCTCTGCAGCCCTTGTAATTCAGTGGCAAGCAGAGAACTGGCTGAGTGAGTGGGAGAAAGCCTTTGGGGAAGGCCCATTTCTTGGGGCTCTGCTGTCTCTTATACAAGTGACTACCTACTTCCCTGAGCACAGAGCCTGCTGCCTCGGTGTGACAGCCATCAGGAGGGTCACAGGATGGAACCATCAACCCTTGTCTTAATGAGGTAGATGGAGTAATTAAAAAAAAATCTGACATCTCTTACTTAGAAAGCTGTCAAATAAGGATACTCAGAGAAACTAAACCCCTTCGCCATTTATTAATTACCCTTTAAAACCCATTACACTTTAAGAGATGCAAAAATTTGACATTTCATATTAAAGAGAACCTAGAGCTGATTGCTTCTCTACTGAGAGAGGAGGGATTAGAAAAACACATTCTCTATTGTAATTAATTGTTCATTTGATCAATAAAAAATATGCACCACATTTTTCATGGTACAAATTTAAGGTGGTAAAACAAGACAAAGATCTGCTTGCCTGGTGGGCCAAGGGTTCAGAAACACTGCTTGAAACAGATCTGGAATTTATAAGATGTTACCCATGCTGTTTAGATGTGCTATAGGCACATAAGTGTTGGTGCTAACATTGCCGTATGATTACCATGCCTATTTTTTTCATCATCATTAATTCCAACAGTGATTGCCTCTTGAATGTTCATGAAGGTAAAAGTCATGAGTATAAATTAATGAGTCTGAGTTCATATTCATTCAATTTTATAGTTTGCCTACATAAAATTCCCTTATAACCCTAATATTAGAAGTTGCAAATAAGATAATGATAAAATAAATATACTAACTTTTTACATTTGAAGAAACGGTGATAAGAAAAGCCAACATTAGATTCTCAAGAGAAAATTTATACATAAATTTCTTAGAGAATACTCATTAGGTAAGAAGTTATAATATTTTTGGTTACTTAGTTTCCATATCACATTTAATAGGATGTTGACCTTGACTATACCCAACATTGGAATAGGGACTAAGAGGTTACTGTGGCTAATGTGACTATTGATTTTTCTATTCGATAGACATTTATTGAGCATCTATTATGTGTTTTCCTCTTTCATTAGCCTCTCCTAATTCAAAACAGGCAACAAATTACTTACCATTTGTGTCCTGACATGTTTCCTTCTTCTTTTCCTACTGTTGATGATTTGGGGAGAAGGGGCAGGGGAAAAGCATGAGAGGATAAGTTATATTAGAACCTGAAATAAAACAAATACGTTTAACAGTTACACACTATATTATAATTATATGTTAAATTGACACATAAAATTCCAATCTAAACCCCTTCTAGCTGTATTTTAGGGGCCCAACACTACTATGCAATAACACTGTACACTGTTGTCAAGAAGAGTTTAGCTAAGTAACATGGAAGAAATATCCCAAATGAAGTTTAACAAGTGAACAAAAGCAGGTTGAATGACAAGGGAAGGTTGTAGAAGACTACATAAAATGAGATTATATCATGCAAAGCAATATACTGTAACCAACTGAAGCATAGAAATATTATATAGCGAAGGTATAAAGAACTGCTTAGGAATAATGAACACTAAATTCCAGATAACAGTTACCACTGCAGTGGGGGAGGTGGAGGCTATTATTCAAGAGGTACATGCAGGGACTTCAACTGTGCCCGCAGTGTTCTCTGTTAAGCTGGGTGGCAAGTACTGCATCCGTATGCCTCTTTAGAGATTTGAAACAACTCAGAATCAGTATTTAAAAAACCTGAACCAGCCCATGGCAGAAACAAAAAACAAACAGAAAAAGGGTAAAAAGGAGGAAAATGTATTTATTGCTGTTTTTACCAGCCTAATACTGTATTTTCATCTCACTCATAAATATGGAAGTCACTTGATGCCTTTGCCCCTCACTCCATTTGCCCCACTCAGGGAAGTTGCCAGCCAAAAGGGAGGGCGGAGCCAGCCAACCCAGCCACACTTACCTACCAGTTACTGGAAAGAGTGGTGAGCTCACTACCTAAGGGATGGCCTCTGGCCAGACACGGATTGCTGGCTGCGAGTGGATGCTCAGTGTGCTAGTCTGGGTGCTTCTGGCTTCGCCAACAAAACCAATGCAATCCTTCTCCCTTTACCTTAGGAAGGGTCCTGACAACTAGGACCCCTGAGATGATTAAAGTTCCCCAGGCTTTTAAAAAAAATGTGTTAATGGAACTAAATTGAGTGTTGAAATTCCAGGCTTCAGGTGAGAGGAAGAAGGACATTTTCTTTGAGTGTCCAGATGCTGCTGGAATGACAGCATCCTGTAATCAGCATCTCTCTTCCTCCTGGAGGGCACCCAGGTTTTGGATGAGTTGCTTTGGAAATGACAGTCGTGATGAGTAAGCCTTGCCCTCTGCTCAGTAAATTGTAGAGAGGCCATGAACCTCCCACACAGCCTCACAGCAAGGACACATTTACTTTACTTAGCTCAAAGCTTTCAACGAAACTTCTCATAAAAAGATACTGTTCAAGGAAATGAAATTATTATAGTCTTTCCTTAAGATGGATTTCACCAGGAACTATTAGGATAATTAGTACTTTCTAATTAATATTTTTATTGCAGTAAAAAAATAAGACAAATTTATTCTCTTTAAAAAATCCGCCCCCCCCCCCATTGATTTTTAGAGCGAGTGGAGGGAGGGAGAGAGACAGAGAAAAATCAATGTGAGAGAGACACATCAATTGGTTGCCTCTGTACATACCCTACTGGGGCTGGGAATCAAGCTTGCAACCTAGGTATGTACCCTTGACCGGAATCAAACCCGTAACCCTTCAGTCCTCGGGCCAACGCTCTAACCACTAAGCAAAACCAGCTAGAACTCTCTTAACCATTTTTAAGTGTATAGTACAGTATTGTTAACTATAACATTGTTGTACAACAGATCTCCAGAACTTTTTCATCTTGCATGACTGATACTAAATACCCACTGAACAACTCCCTGCTTTCTCCTCCTCCAGCCCTTAGCAACCACCATTCTACTTTCTGAGTTTGACTATCTTAGGTATTTCATGTAAGTAGAATCATGCAGCCTTTGTCCTGTGATTGGCTTATTTGACTTAGAACAATGTCCTCAAGGTTCATCCATATTCTAACGTATGACAGGTTTTCCTTCCTTTTTAAGGTTGAATAATATTCCATTGTATGTATGGAGCTCCTTTTCTTTATCCATTCACTCATTGATGGACACTTAGCTGGCTTCCACATCTTGGCTATTGTGCATAATGCTGCAATAAACATGGGTGTGAAAATATCTCTTTAAGATCCTGTTTTTTGTGTGTGTTTTTTTAAAATATATTTTATTGATTTTTTACAGAGAGGAAGGGAGAGGGATAGAGAGTTAGAAACATCGATGAGAGAGAAACATCCATCAGCTGCCTCCTGCACACCCCCTACTAGGGATGTGCCCACAGCCCAGGTACATGCCCTTGACTGGAATCGAACCTGGGACCCTTCAGTCCGCAGGCCGACGCTCTATCCACTGAGCCAAACCAGTTACGGCTAAGATCCTGTTTTTATTTTTTTAAGATATGGACCAGAAGTGGGATTGCTAGATCAAATGGCAGTTCTATTTTTTATTTTGTAAAGAACCTTCATACTTTCCCCCACAGTGACTGCACCATTTTACAGTCCCTCCAACAGTGCTTCAATTTCTCCACATCTTCACCAACACCTGTTATTTTCTGGACTTTTTGATAGCAGTCATCCTAATGGGTGAGGTGATATGTCATTGTGGTTTTGGTTTGCATTTCCCTGATTATTAGTGTCGGTAACCATCTTTTCATATACTTATTGGTGTCTATTCAAATCCTTTGCCTATTTTCTAATTGGGTAACTTTTTTTTGTTTTGTTTTGTTATTGCATTATAGGAGTACTGGATAGTCTGGCTGTTAACCCATTATCAGATATATGGTTTCCAAATATTTTCTCCCATTCAGTAAGTTGCCTTTTCACTGCTGATGATTTCATTTGCTGCAACTTTTTGATAAATTTTTGATCATTAAAAAATTTAAGTTCTTTGTGGTGAGACAGATGATAAAATCACTGAGCACACTGCTCCTTTTACCTGGGCTTCCAGATTATGACGCCATGTGGCAGTGTTCCCCAAGATATCGTTTACACTGGAATCTTCTGGAGTGTCAACACATCGATTCCTGGGCCCCATCCCTTACCTGCTGAACCAGAATCTCTGGGAACAGGTCTGAGAACCTGCATTTGTAACAGGCTTTGCAAGTGACTCTTTTTCTGTTATTTTTTTGTCTTTTTTTTGTTGTTGTTAATCTTTATCCAAGGATATTTTCAATTGATTTTTAGAGAGAGTAAAAGGGAGGGGGAGAGATGGAGACAGAGAAACATCGATGTGAGAGAGACACATCAAGATCTGACCAGGGCCAGGGATTGAACCTGCAACCGAGGTACCTGCTCTTGACCAGAATCAAACCCAGAACCCTTCAGTCCGCCAGCTGACGCTCTACCCTCTAAACCAAATCGGCTAGGGCTGCAAGTGATTCGTAAGCACATTAAAGTCTGAGTACCACAGCTAAGTGGTGCACAGGAAAATTTCTTTCTGGAAATGGATTTTTCTTGAATAAACCGCTGGGTTATATGCAACTTGAGCAAAGGGGTCATGGGTGGCAAAATCAAGTCAACTCCACAGGACACAGCTGAATGTCTCAGGGCAGGGCAGCTGCAGCCAGGACTTGCATCTCCTTTAATGTACATTTAGCCCCATCCACCAGGAACAATTAATAAACAACTTTCATATTTCCTGACAAAACCATCTCATTTTGCTCTAGCACTTCCTAAACCCACAGTGTCAAAATCAATACTTTAAAAAATCATTACAATTCTCATCCATTCATTCATTCCAGTTCAGCAGTTTGGTTTATCAAACATACGTTAAGCATCTAATTAACACGTGCCAGGAAACTTAACAGTCGAGATCGGCTCTGCACAATAGAAATATAATATGAGCTACATATGTAATTTTTAAATGATCTAACAGCCATGTTAAAAATAATATACTTTACTTAATATATCTAAAATATTACTTCAACATGTAATCAATAAAAAATTACTACTGATATACTTTGCGCTTGAGTTTTTATAACAAGTCTGAAATCAGGTGTGCATTTTACACTTACAAGACAAAGCCACTGAGCCTAGCCACTTTACGTGCTCAAATAACCACGTGTACTTGTGGCTACTGCTTTGGACAGTGTAGGTTGAACAGGAAAGACAGGCATATAAACATAATTTCCAGCCTCATCAGACTCTTGACATTTGCAAGGGGCCTATAAAAAGATCATGAATCTCCAAATTTGTAAATTCTGCTGTAAAAATATCATTTCCTCTGTCAAGTACAATAAAGTCTATGATTAGCTAATACTTCAGTTCAGGATTCTGCAAAGGCTCCACTTGCTCCACTTCCGCCACGAGGCCCTTACGGAAGAAGCCCAGAATGAATGGGATCATGCCTCCACCTTCCTAATGGCACTTCCCCAACGTTCTGCTTGTGGCCACCTTTCCTTGGGCGATAAGCAGAGAGGAGCAAGTTTCAAGTTGCTTATGGACTGTGAGTGCCATGTAAGAAAAAACAAAGGCACCAGGACTGCTAAATCCAGCATGACTTATACCCACGAGTGGCGGAAGAGTCAGTTATAATTAAGACCCACTCAAAGAAGTAGGCGTCCAAGAGTTAACAGATCAATGGAAACCAAGTTCCTAATTTTGATGTAACAACTTTGAGGGTGGGTGGGGCGGGTGAGTTAGTGAGGAGCAGGCTAAGACAAGAAATAAAAGGGAAAGATGTCTCCCTGCTCAGAGGTGGGACGTTGTTGAGGTCAGCACCTCCTGCTTGGGTGACACTATGACCACCGACCTAATTCTCTTACACTTTTCCAGGCTGCACCTTGATGGGGATGCAATCCTTTGACCTCCTGCTCCAAGGCCAGGCATTAAAACCACAGCTGTTCTGGGCCACATCCATGTGGCTGAGAGACCAGCTTGCCCTGTGGGTAGAACTGGGAGAACAGGGAGGAGGAATCATCTGTTCAGATTTTGTACTGGGGTTCTGTGCAGTAATTATGATCATTTTTCCTCTTTGCTTTTCTTGCATGCTTGTGGTGTTGTCTTTTTTTTTC